CATCTTTATTGAAGAAAGAAGCATAGGTGAGCTAGAAGGAAAAGGTAAACCTTTGCTGACCTCCCAGTCGTTACTGAACAGAGGGGTCATATGCTCCTCCAACTTTCATCACAAACAAATGAAAAAAAATAGCATTTAATACAAAAATGTTTTAGGCTGTATGAGAATGATGAAAAAATTCAATATTACCCTGTCAGCTAAAGAGGGTAAAAAAGAGCAAACTGAGTCCTTAAAAATATTCAAATAAAAAGAACAACACTGCATCATTATCTTTCTCTTTTTTTATATATGTTTAGCTCAGTCTCTTCTTTGGTTTAGACTTAAAATATTATTAGTTTAGAAAAAAAAGTTATATGTTGGCAGCATTTGTTTAATATATTGAAAAAAACTAGTTTAAAAAAATCCCATTTGGCACTAGTGAGATGATTATTTTGGTGAGCCTATTGCTGCCTGTACATATAATTCACTGCTGCTGTTTTGTTTGTTTTTTCTCTGTTGCATTTAGGTTATCTAGTTTCAGATACAATCTATTAAGTGGAATATTTTTCAGTAGCTGAGGTTTTCCCACCTGTCTACCCTAAAACACCTGCAACATATGTTTGTGTAACCCTGCAATGCTTTGTGGTTTGGGCCTTGAGAAATTCCCCCAGAGCTTTTTGCGTATAAACAGCTGAGCGATTCATTTCTCTAATGACGAGTGCTTTTCCTTTGGCATTGAGGCAATGGCATGTTCACTAAAATAAGACTCATTTTTCATCAGACATATTGAAAATCTTTTTTCATTGTTGTCTCTCATTCTGAACCTTCTGATTTTGCACAAGATTGTATTTGATTTTTTTTTCTGTTAATAATACTGAAGAGGGGGGAAAGGAAATACCGCGACAAAGAAGAAAAAAGACTGTTGTAGAGATTCCTCCACTTGCACCTGCATGTAAACTTTTACAAATAGTGTGTATTCAGATGGTGAAATGTTACGTTGCAGCAGTAACCTGGTTTTCCTGGTATGTTGTAAACAGTCTGCCTGTGGCTTCTGTCACGCACAAGCGTGCTTTGCCATATCATGTCGACTCCGTGGGTAATGTGACGCGATACGTCTCTGGAGGCCAGGGAGGAAAAGGGTTATACTAGGGAATCTGAGCATACGGAGCACGCTTCTTAGCTGGTGGGAATTGCTTTTCAGCAGTTTATGCAAGTCTAGGGAATCTCTGTTGCGTTCAGTGTGATTCTGACCATGGCCTCGGCCCCCCGCCTGGGAAAAGAGCAGGTGTGGGTAAAACTTAACTTGGCCTCATGTCCCTGGAGGAGAATAAAGCCAAATAGAAAGTCCCCAAGAACCTCCTGCTAGCTGTGGGATTTGGAGTGAGTCAGTCTGGTGGTGGCTGGGAACAGAAGCAGGAGGACGTGGGTTAGGGCTTCAGCAGGCAGATGAGGGGGGGCATCTTTTAGGCAAGGAAGGGCTCAGAGGCAGGAGCACCTCAGAGATACCTGAAACATTTTAAGGCACCTCTTCCCTTTGGGCTGTGGCTAATACATTTTGAAGAGACAAAGTCCAAAATCACATCGATTTCTATGTGCGCTTCTATATCTGAATTTTGTACATTGTCCTTTTAAAAGTATAAATTGCGCATTTTCTACCAGTTAAAATTAAGCTCAGTCTAGCTAGAAATTAAGATTAGAAGAATTATAAAACCAGCAGACTGTTCCTACAAAATGGGTGTGGGCAAGAGGGATTTCTAGTATTGACACAGGCAGCTTTTCTCTGATTTCTGTGCTCTCTATCCTTAAAAAGGGAAAAACATAAATGTATTAATCCACATATTGCCCTTAAACAATTTCTTAGGGGGATTCAACAAACTACTAATTTGAAGGGTTGATTTCACTGTCATTTTAACATTATCCTTTTAAGAAAAAAGATTTTATCTGAGGTACTAGTCAAAATACTTACATAAATTGAAAAAGAAAAGGAAAAACTTTACTTGCTTGAGTAATTAAAAATACAAATAAGATCATTCTAAATTGCACTGTGTAGGAAAAAAATGTGGCTACTGTGAATATTTTAAACAACAGGGCTGTGTTTTTCTATAAATAAATTTGTTTAGTCTTCAGTGCTAATACATGGAATATAATATTGGGGACAGCTCAAATTGTATGCTTAGAGAGGGGAATTAGTTTAAAATTCATAAGGAAGTGACATTGTAATTGTGTAGATTTTCCTGTCTGCTTCTTATATTTAACTTACTGAAATGGTTAAAAAGAATATAAAATTTAAAGGACAGTCACAATGACATAGATCGTAATCTTCATAAAACCATATTTTTTGCTGTCTGAATTTCAGTTTTCAAAAGGATTTAAAATTTCTGTGGTGATACTTCACGGATACTTGTCTGCTAACATATGTATCAGTTGGTTTTTTTTTTAAATAATGAAATTTTCAAAAAGGATATCTCTATAGCATTACAAAAGGAGTTGCAGCAGTACCCTTGGTATTTACTGTCTTGCATTTCTAACGTTTTTTCAACAGCATTTTTTCTGAGGGCTTTTTTTCATTGCATGTAATAGTACTTTAAACTGCTTCTTCCTTTGATACCTTTAAACCTCATAGGAATTTAAATAGGCCCCTGTGAAAGTAATGCTTGAGCCTCATTCATATGTTCAAGTTAGATCATTATTCCTATTAATGGCTTTAAGTGCTTAGATAGTAGATCAGCCTTTCGTGTCTTGAATTGCTTGTCATTTCTGCATAAATATGTTTTGAGATACTGTTCCACATGATCTTTTCCTCTTTTTTTTTTATTCAGAAGCAATGTGTATTTTTTTTTTTAATTTATTGAGTGGTGGAAAAGAAATTCCAATGTTTTTGCGAAGTTTAAAATATATACTGAGTTACTGGAAACAAATTGCAAAACTGGCTAGCATCTGGTAACGTCAGTATTTCAAAGGGCTGTCTTATGACTTAGAAGTGCCCATTATTTTAACCATCTCTTACTCTTCCACCTTGTTGAAATGGTCATCAAGACACATAAAGAAAAACGTTATTTATTTAATTCATGGGAGAAAAGTTACACTGTTTGATTACTCTCATAGTAGTCGCAGAACCATCAGTTATCCTCATCACGTCAGTTTGGATTTGATTATCATAGAAATGCATTGAATTACCAAACTAGAGCAATAGTAACTAAAGCTGATTCATTGTTATTGCTGTCAGTTGATGAGGACTGACTTACAAGCCATATGAATGGGTAGAGTTATGCAAATATTGTTTTTATAACAGCAGAAGAGAAACGTGGAGTGGCCATTACAATGTGGGTGGTAGGATAGATGAGGATTTTTTTAATGCTTGCCTAATAGCTTTTAGTTGTTTCATTTTTTGAACATTGCAAACAGGATATATTTTTAAAATGTTTAATGTGTTTCCAAAGAAAGAAAATGAGACATTTCATACAAGATTAAGTCTGACTGCAGGAAACGATCTGGAAATTCCCAGCCTTAAATTTGACCCCAGAAATCATCCTGGCCTTTGATATCTACCACCTCTTTAAATCTTCTCCGCTCCTTTTGTGCACATGCAATGTTTCGGTCTTTAAAATGCAACTCCTATATCCTCCTCCAAAAATAAGGTTTCCAAGGAAGGAGGGTTATCTGCAGTTATGTGGAAAATGAGAGGATAAGGTTATGGATACTCCAGTCTATAATGAAATCTGGAGGGCAGAAATACAACACGTGAAACTGAAACAGCTGAAAACTGACTCCATCAGAAATATAATGTACTCTCACCTGTGAATGACTATTTTGGAAGGGTCATTGTGTAGTTCATTAAAACTATATTTACTACTAGCAGGACTTGAGAAGGCAGATCAGAATATAAAGCAACAGCCTGTGAATGAATAAACCTTTAAAGCAAATATGTGGGAAGTATTTAGATCTGTTTTATACGATATAAATATTGTATAAAAATATTCTGATCATTATGCAGAAATCTACCATTTTGTTTCCTCTTACACTAGAAATTATTTACTTGAAGTCATTTATCTTCTAATTTATATATATATATGTATATGTATATGTATATGTATATGTATATATAAAAAGGGCCTCTCTGTACTGCTCTGTTATTTTGGTTTTGTCTGTACGCATATTTTTTTATTTAAAAATAGTTACTTCCCCCTCTAAATAACGTCCTTCAGGATGCATTCGTTCGATCAAGACACTTTACACGTATATTGTGGTCTACACTTACTCAATGTTCAGTGGATTATTAGATCCAAAAAGGACGATTTCAGAACTACCGTAGGCAGCGTGCTGCAGTGAAATAGTTTCATTGTGGCAGAGGTGGAGACTAACAAGTGGCTTCTGGTTTCAATATTGATGATACACATTTTATTACAGGAGAAGAGTTCTTTATTAGTGGCCTCCGTTTTGAGCAGGGTGAAATTCGGAGAGAAAAAAGGCTCTGTGTGCCATCTAGTGGCAGTGTTCAGGTTGTCTCGCTAAATTTAATTCTTTCCTTAACCGAGACACTGCTAGGGATGCATTCAGTTCAAAATGTTAGCTATAGTTTCTCCTTACTATTACCATTTTCTTTAGAAATATATCACTTCAGCTTGGAGGTGGTAAAATTGTATACCTGAGCTAAAGGAAGAAATCAGATTGGTATCTGAACTTGTCCAAGAATTACTGATTTAATTAGAAATGTTACCACTACAGCCAACATCCTCATCACTGTGTGAAGAACACTAATTTCTGTGAGTGTGGAGTGGACTTACTGGTAACACTTAGTAATCTTTTAAGTATTTTAAGACTTCGCTTTTATGTAACTGGCATTACTGCCTTGAGAAACCAAGATCTTGGGAAAATAAATTATTCTTTAAATTTCTAAATTTCTAATCTTCATTAATGAGTATACTTCTTGTTTCTGCTTTAAATCTCTTAGAAAATTCCAATAAGGTATTCTCTTTAAAAAATATATGGGTTTGTTTGTTTGTTTATTTGTTTGTTTTTAGAGAAATCCAAGACCAGTGACTCACCAATTCCAACAAAATTTAGATTATTACAAAGCACGTGGAGCAGACTTGATGAACAAAACCCGGTAAGCTATTTCTGAATATGTGTTCACTTAACTAAGACCTTACATAAACAAAATGCTTCATAAGTCACTTTTATCCCAGTCAGGAATTACAGAAGCAGTATTAGAAGCACATGTGTTTATTTCATGACATTTATTTTGAATCTGTACCTTGCCTATTATTACATGAAAAATGAAAGCTTTACAGCTAGTGTTGCAGTCAGCTGACTGGCTTTTTTTTAAGGCTAAGGACATTCGTCGCAATGACATGTATACTAAAAGCAGGGGGTAAAACGTGGTCAATGTGAGTTCTGTAGCTGAACTACTTCTGATAATGCACCTAATTGCAATCTGGAGTATCCGTGTACCAGAAGCTGTGTAAGTTAAATTGAATTAATGTACATGCAGTTTGCAGTATTTTTTACTAAACCTTTTTGCAGTATTCCTCCCTTGTTTTAGAAACTATTTGTATCAATACTGCTTAAATTCCTTGTCAAGGGCATTTTATCTGGTGGTCACAAGTGTAGAGGCGGCCACGCCTCAACGTGGCTGCCAGTTGCTGGTGGGTGGTGGGTGGTGG